CTTTCATTCGAAGAAAACGGCGGCTGAAGCGCATCGAGAACTCCAAAAAGTTTACGGAGATGCTGCTCTAAGTGAAACAACGTGCCGTGATTGGTTCCGTCTCTTCAAAGACGGTGATTTCGATGTTGACGACCGTTCGCGTGAAGGAAGGCCAAAAACCTTCGAAGACGCTGAATTGGAGGCATTGCTCGATGAGGATCCGTGCCAAACGCAAAAAGAGCTTGCTTCAGCATTAGGAGTACCCGCCAAGACATTTCCAAGCGATTGCATGCGTTGGGAATGATTCAAAAACAAGGAACTTGGGTTCCTTATGATTTGAAGCCAAGAGACGTTGAGCGTCGTTTTTTCGCCTGTGAACAACTGCTCCAGAGGCAAAAAAGGAAGGGTTTTTCTTCATCGCATCGTTACGGGTGATGAAAAATGGATTCATTACAGCAACCCAAAGAGAACAAAATCATGGAGACTGCCCGGTCATGCTTCTACGTCGTCGGCTCGGCCGAATATTCACTCTGCGAAGGTTTTGCTGTGTATTTGGTGGGACCAGGGCGGTGTTATTTATTATGAGCTGTTGAAACCGAACGAAACCATCACTGGGGAACGGTATCGAACTCAATTGATGCGATTGAGCCGAGCACTGCGCGAAAAGCGGCCACAATACGAGCAGAGGCACGAAAAAGTGATTCTACAGCATGACAACGCTCGGCCTCACGTTGCCAAACCCGTTAAAACCTACTTAGAAACGCTCAAATAGGAAGTCCTATCCCACCCGCCATATTCCTCAGATATTGCGCCGTCCGATTATTACTTGTTCCGTTCGATGGCACATGGTCTGGCTAATCAGCAGTTCCGCTCATGAAGACATCTCAAAATGGCTTGATTCGTGGATAGCCTCAAAAGACGAACACTTCTACCGTGACGGTATTCGAGCTCTGCCAGAAAGATGGGAAAAAGTTGTCGCTAGCGATGGGCAATATTTTGAATGATTCATTTGTAACCATTTTTTCACAATAAAGTTGCATTTTCATCAAAAAAACAGCGAGAACTTAGTTGCACACCTAATATATGTGTAACTAGATAAATAATTATTAAATGTAAATAAATAATTTAAGTTTTTCAGTGTTTTGGCTTCAATAAATTATCGGTCATGGTTGTGACTTAGTTCTTCGCATTAGCATAAATTTTCCACTATTGTAATAGAATAAATATACACTCAAACGCAAAAAACCCGGTACACTAAAAATTTGGGAAAAAATTACAAAATTTCAAATGATTATAACTTGGTAAATAATGAAGATACAAATATGCGCAGAAATGCAAAATGAAGCTTGAAACGTCCTCTTTAAGAATATCTGAATGGCAATTATGCTCGGCCATTTTCTTCAAAATGGCGGATGATAAAGTGAGAGGATGCAAAATTGATAATCAAAGGTCCATGTTTGCGATGGTGCATGGTGTGCATCAGGTATCGCAGCGTAATGGGACCAAATGCACATGAAAGTATAGAGTGTTATCTTTAAAATGCTACTTTACCGAGCTCGATGTGATCATTTTTCACTGAGTTGTTCCAAATTTTGCTAAAAATGCGGTTTTCTTGTTAAATTTGCAGAATTCAGTGAATAAGTATCGCATCAAGCTCTATAACGAAGTATTTTAAAGAAAACATTCTATACTTTTAGGTACTTTTCGTCCCATTGAGCTGCGACACTTACTTTACTCCATGCGCCGTCGCACGCTCGAACCTTCTTTTAGCAACTTTTCATGTTCTCCTTTTTATCACCCGCCATTTTGAAAAAATATCGTTGCGCACAATTTCGATAGATCTTTCGAAAAGTATGGTTTCAAAGCTTTCAAACCGTTTTTGAAATTTGCTGCTAGGATATTTAGATGTCGAGATATTCAATTTCGAATTTGCAACAAATGTCGATTCAGCGAGGCTTAAGGGACTAAAAGGCTCTGCGGTTCGTTTGGCTCTTTCATAATTTCAATAGCTGTGTTCATGTTTCTCTATATAATAATTTACATAACCTGCACAATATATTCAATGATTTGCATTTATTATTTTGAAGGCCAGGGAAATGAAAGTAAAATTCAATTTAGGTTCTTCATTTTGCGTAATCGATATTACGTAATAAAGATGAATTGCGTTTTAAGATACCGCTGTCATTAGCTCAAATTATGGTTGTAAGTCTTCCCAATATAAACCGCATGGAGTTTTACTGGTAGGAAAAGTCCCATTGTATGTAGTGTGTGTGTGTGTGTGTGTGTGTTTGTATACCACAAGGATAAGGACCCCGCGGTTCGTCAGCTCCACAGTATTTCAAGATTTCACACCCTCCTTGTGGTGTGTGTGTGTGTGTGTGTGTGTGTGTGTGTGTGTGTGTGTGTGTGTGGTGTTACAGCAGAGATAAGGACCCCGCAGTTCGTCACTCCTGCAGTAATTAATGACCCTCTCTGCTGTGTGTGTGGTGGGTGTGTGTGTACTAATAGTGGGTATGACTGCTTCGTGCGCGTATTACCTCATTCATACGATCAGACATACTCCTTATTAGTCTTTTAATTTTATCCTGCGTAATTGTATTCCATTCGTTTTCGAGAATTATTCGCAGTTCTCGCAGTGACTGAGGAGCAGGTACGTGATTTCGTACTTTCCTGCCGAGATTGTCCCATAAGTGTTCGATTAGATTTAAATCTGGACTATTTGCTGGCCAATCAAGTCGATTTATGCCAACTTCATCGAAGAAATCAAGCACTCTTCTCGCAGTGTGGTCGAGCATTGTCTTGCATAAACAAGAAGTTCTCTCCGATGAAGGGTGCGTACGGAACAACATACGGAATGAGTATGTCTTCCACGTATACATCTACATTCATATTCTTGTCAAAAAAGTGCTGATCTGTATGAGCATTAGCTGAAATTCCTGCCCAAATCATTACAGAGCCTCCATTGTAGCTATGCCTCTCACTTACCGTACAGTCTACAAATCGTTCTCCACCGCGACGATAAACTCGTTCTCGTCCATCTGGAGAATAGACACAGAAACGAGATTCATCGCTAAAGAGTATTTTGCTCCAGTCTGCGTAAGTCCAGTCTCTATGCTCAACTGCAAAATTGAGTCGAGCTACGCGATGGTGACATTTAAGCAAAGGTACAGCTGCTGGCCTGCGCCAAAGCAGATTTTGTTCCTTTAATCTTCTCCGAACGGTGTTAACGGATACATTAATGTTGCGGACATCCCTTAAATTGTTTCTAATTTGAATAGATGTTCGATGTCTGTCTCTTAACGAATTTGAAACAATAAATCGGTCATCATTGTGATTGGTACATCGAGGACGTCCTGAACCAGGCCTTCTATGGAAAGAATTGGTTTGTAAGTACCTGGCATAAGCACGTTGCACAGTTGACACTGACAAATCAAGTGCCTGAGCAACGTACCTTCGACTTCTGCCATCTTCAATTAAAGCAATAACTTGAGCAGCCTTTTCAGGATTTATCGTCGCCATAATCGACGCAATAATTTCGATGGGGAACAATCAATTATGGTTTAAATTGATGAAGTTGCACGAAGCAACGCGCCTCGAAAGGAAAAGATCACGGAAAAAGAAAAGTCGCACGAGGCAGCGCTTATCGCAGTGAACACGTTCGGAAAAGGAAAATTGTTTGTCTTTGTTTATTGTCTTGGTACATACATTTAAGAAAAATCCAGTCAAGCCAGGCGTTAAAGCCCGGCGCACCGACAGAATCTCGGTCAAGCCAGAATGTAAGCCCGGCGTACTGACAAACTCGCGAAGTCCAGCGTACAAGAAATAGTGCCACTATCGGCGGTGGACTGTACGAAGGCCAAAAGCTGTACGAAGGCAATCTCTGATCGTCTCAGCTTCGCGAACTAAAGTATATACCACAGTGATCATGCGTAACTGAAGGGTAAAGAATGATAAGGGTAAAGAATTTGATAAAAATAAAATTTCCAATTCGCAAAATTGTGTAAATTATTGTATAGAGAATAATGAACACGGCTATTGAAATTATGAAAGAGCCAAACGAACCGCAGAGCCTCTTAGCCCCTTAAGCCTCGCTGAATCGACATTTGTTGCAAATTCGAAATTGAATATCTCGACACCTAAATATCCTAGCAGCAAATTTCAAAAACGGTTTGAAAGCCTTGAAACCGTACTTTTCGAAAGATCTATCGAAATTGTGCGCAACGATATTTTTTCAAAATGGCGGGTGATAAAAAGGAGAACATGAAAAGTTGCTAAAAAAAGTTTCGAGCGTGCGACGGCACATGGAGCAAAGTAAATGTCGCAGCTCAATAGGACGAAAAGTACCTAAAAGTATAGAATGTTTCCTTTAAAATACTTCGTTATAGAGCTTGATGCGATACTTATTCACTGAATTATGCAAATTTAACAAGAAAACCGCATTTTTAGCAAAATTTGGAACAACTCAGTGAAAAATGTTCACATCGAGCTCGGTAAAGTAGCATTTTAAAGATAACACTCTATACTTTCATGTGCATTTGGTCCCATTACGCTGCGATACCTGATGCACACCATGCACCATCGCAAACACGGACCTTTGATTATCAATTTTGCATCCTCTCACTTTATCATCCGCCATTTTGAAAGAAGTGGCCGAGCATAATTGCCATTCAGATATTCTTAAAAAGGACGTTTCAAGCTTCATTTTGCATTTCTGCGCATATTTGTATCTTCATTATTTACCAAGTTATGATCATTTGAAATTTTGTAATTTTTTCCCAAATTTTTAGTGTACCGGGTTTTTTGCATTTGAGTGTATATCAGATAAGTAATTAATATTCACATAAAATAAAAGATTAAGTATCTATGTATAGTCAGTAATGATAGATGTTGAACCGATTCTTTTTTTCGATTAATTTTTTGTTTCAGCTTCCCAGCTATCCAAGTTCCTGCAGAATATTAATAGTTGGAGGCCACTTTCCTGTGAAGTAAGATTATCAAAGTCTGAGGTCACTTGTCCTTGAATGCGTCCCAGTAAGCAAAAGTTAAATCACATCCTAACGTCAAATATCAGAGTAAGATGTGTTACTAGCAGTGTGATGACAGATTAATACATCAAACTAAGAATAGGTTTGTAACATTGATGTTTATTGTCATATCATCAATGCTTTTGACAGCCATACTCGAAATTTTTTTATCACTTTATCATGTAGCGTACTGACTGATATATTCTTCTTATCTTTTAGGAAACAGGATGTTTTGCCTATGTTTGTCTCTGCAAATAAGGTTATTGTGATTTACGGTCAAGAATGATGAACTTTTTCCCAAAAATTGAGGATCGGTCCTTAAAGAAGACAATTACAGTAAAATGAAAAATAAAAATCATATAAATGGAAAATGCAAGAGTTACGAGAAGTCAAGGATCACAAAGAAAATAGAAAGTAAGAACATGTTATATTATGCGTTTATTTCCTCTTTTCCTATTAATTTTGATAGTTCGTACAAAATTAATAATAAATCTAAATCTTTGCTTTCATCAATTTTGGCCCAAATGTCTTGTAATATTTCTTTTCTTTTTAAGGAGGAATTAAAATCGTATCTTGCCCAAAATGTTGGATTCCTCATCATGTTATGAACGTTTCTCTGATGTTGTGTAAATTTTCTGTAATACATAATATTAAATTGTAAGAATGTTCTAAAAATCTGGCAATAAACTCTGGCAATAAATGCAATAAAGTGCTTAATAATATACCTAAAAATGTAATGATTATTGAATGTTGACGAGGACATTCTTTCAGTTCTTTATTATGTCGCTCACTTATATTGTTTGTTTTATGTAATTAATATTAATATTCTGCAAGAACTTGGATAGCTGGGAAGCTGAAACAAAAAATTAATAGAAAGAAAGAATCGGTTCAACATCTATCATTACTGACTATACATAGATATTTAATCTTTTATTTTATGTGAATATTAATTACTTATCTGATATGTATTTCTTTATTGCAATAGTGGAAAATTTATGCCAATGCGAAGAACTAAGTCACAACCATGACCAATAATTTACTGAAGCATGCTAAAACACTGAAAAACTTAAATTATTTATTTACATTTAATAATTATTTATCTAGTTACACATATACATATATATGCATGTACACACGTATATATATTTATATACAGGGTGGACCATTTTAACCTTTAATGGAGAATAACTCGACCGGTGAGCGAAATAATGAAAAAAGTTTCATACAAAAGTTGTTGGACAAGGAGGGGGACGTATGACCATATCCTTGAATTTGACCTTGACTTTGACCTTAGGGGTTATTTGAAGGTCAAATAACATTTTTTAAATGGAATTGCCTATTTTCGACCCCGGATTTGGAAAGAGCGGGAAATTTTAGAATAGGATATGGTATGATCGATAAGATCAAATGTCATGTTTTGAGGTCATTTCAAAGTCAAAAGGAACTTGTACGTGTATTCATGCGAAAATCGTATCTGTATACGGGGATTTCTAAATTATCTTCTACACTTAGCATTACTCAGAGATAACGACGTGGACGTGGTAGAATTCTGCCTCTTTCGGGGTGCTTGTTTAGAGTGAGTCCCCTTGCCTCTCACTATGCATACTTTGCTATTATTAATCTAGCTATTCAAAAGGTTTTCGAAAGTTGCACCGTTAGCATTTATGCAATAATTGAGCCTTCTTTGGAAATGGGCCACTGTGCTGAGCAAGACATTTCGTGGAATCGCTTCACAAGCTCGTCTTATGCGATTTTCCATATCTTCTCTTGTTGTTGGTTCTTCTTTGAAAACAACTTCTTTCAAATAGCCCCAGAGATAAAAATCGAGTGACGTCAAATCAGGAGAACGAGGAGGCCATGCAATCGGACCCTCTCGACCAATCCATCGGTTCGGGTACCTTTCATCTAAAAACCTCCTGACTATACGTGCAAAGTGCGGTGGTGCACTATTCTGTTGGAAGAACATCCTTCGCCTGGTTTCTAAGTCTACGTTCTCCAACAAATGAGGCAATTGGTCTGTGAGCAAATCGAGGTACGTATTTGCATTCACAGTACGTTCGAAAAAGAATGGACCGACCAAGTATCCATTAACAATCCCGCACCAGACATTGAGGCTCCAGCGATGTTGATTGTCAATCGCTCTATGCCAGTGCGGATTGGTATCGGACCAATAATGGCAATTATGCCGGTTCAACTCCCCTGTGTTCTTGAACGTCACTTCATCGGAAAACATCACAAATCTAAAAAAATTAGGGTCCCGATCGATCTGTTGTAAGACCCACCGGCAGAACTCGAGGCGTCGATCAGAATCGGCAGGTAATAATGTTTGGGTCAAAGTGATATGATAAGCATGGTACTTCCGAGTCTTCAAAATCCGCAAGATTGTGGACTTCGGTATTCCTGTGGATACCTCCAGTCTACGGCTCGAAATATGAGAATCGAGATAGACCGATGCCAAAATAGTCAGCACTCGAACGTCATTCTCGTCATATTCGTGATGACGACGTTGACGTGTCATTTGCCCAGTACGTGCCCTCGTGGTCAAATTTCTGATCGTCATGTTACACGGATGTCATCTCCTCGGAAAGCGCTGAGCGTAAAGTGCTGCGGCATTCACATGTGGCCGGTAGGAGCACGCAGAGAAAGACAATATGTCCACGTCGCTTCCGAGTAATGCTCACATTTTTCACTCGTAAGGAATTATTCGCTGAGAATACAAAATAGTGTTATCATTGTTATTATTATCATTATCCGCCCAAAAATAATATTGATAATAATAATTATAACAATAATTATTATAAAGCTAGTATAATAAATATTGTTCATTGAGATAAAACTCAATTATTATCATACATCTTGTCTCTTAGTATTAATAAGCAGAGATCTGGTGTGATTAAAATGGGAGATTATACACTCAATGAGATCATTGATATGATTTATATTTTAGGAGAATGTCGAGGTGTCTATGTGAATGCCGCAGCACTTTACGCTCAGCGCTTTCCGAGGAGACGACATCCGTGTAACGTGACGATCAGAAATTTGACCACGAGGGCACGTACTGGGCAAATGACACGTCAACGTCGTCATCACGAATATGACGAGAATGACGTTCGAGTGCTGACTATTTTGGCATCGGTCTATCTCGATCCTCATATTTCGAGCCGTAGACTGGAGGTATCCACAGGAATACCGAAGTCCACAATCTTGCGGATTTTGAAGGCTCGGAAGTACCATGCTTATCATATCACTTTGACCCAAACATTATTACCTGCCGATTTTGATCGACGCCTCGAGTTCTGCCGGTGGGCCTTACAGCAGATCGATCGAGACCCTTTTTTTTAGATTTGTAATGTTTTCCGATGAAGTGACGTTCAAGAACACAGGGGAGTTGAACCGGCATAATTGCCATTATTGGTCCGATACCAATCCGCACTGGCATAGAGCGATTGACAATCAACATCGCTGGAGCCTCAATGTCTGGTGCGGGATTGTTAATGTATACTTGGTCGGTCCATTCTTTTTCGAACGTACTGTGAATGCAAATACGTACCTCGATTTACTCACAGACCAATTGCCTCATTTGTTGGAGAACGTAGACTTGGAAACCAGGCGAAGGATGTTCTTCCAACAGGATGGTGCACCACCGCACTTTGCACGTATAGTCAGGAGTCAGGAGGTTTTTAGATGAAAGGTACCCGAACCGATGGATTGATCGAGAGGGTCCGATTGTATGGCCTCCTCGTTCTCCTGATTTGACGTCACTCGATTTTTATCTCTGGGGCTATTTGAAAGAAGTTGTTTTCAAAGAAGAACCAACAACAAGAGAAGATATGGAAAATCACATAAGACGAGCTTGTGAAGCGATTCCACGAAATGTCTTGCTCAGCACAGTGGCCCATTTCCAAAGAAGGCTCAATTATTGCATAATTGCTAACGGTGCAACTTTCGAAAATCTTTTGAATAGCTAGATTAACAATAGCAAAGTATGCATAGTGAGAGGCAAGGGGACTCACTCTAAACAAGCACTCCGAAAGAGGCAGAATTCTACCACGTCCACGTCGTTGTCTCTGGGTAATGCTAAGTGTAGAAGATAATTTAGAAATCCCCGTATACAGATACGATTTTCGCATGAATACACGTACAAGTTCCTTTTGACTTTGAAATGACCTCAAAACATAACATTTGATCTTATCGATCATACCATATCCTATTCTATAATTTCCCGCTCTTTCCAAATTCGGGGTCGAAAGTAGGCAATTCTATTTAAAAAATGTTATTTGACCTTCAAATAACCCCTAAGGTCAAAGTCAGGGTCAAATTCAAGGATATGGTCATACGTCCCCTTCCTTGTCCAACAACTTTTGTATGAAACTTTTTTCATTATTTCGCTCACCGGTCGAGTTATTCTCCATTAAAGGTTAAAATGGTCCACCCTGTATATATATATATATTTATTTATTATGTTTTTTACCTTATTGACTTTATGTTCTCACTCGTCTCATTTATTTTGTTATACGCACTTTATGTTTTCACTTATGTCATTTTTATTTAATATTATAAAGTATTTTACATTTATAATTTGACGATACATGATATTTGTGACACACGTGCGTACATCTGTCAAAATGTTTGCGCAAACTAAGGGCCAGAACACAGATTTCTGCATAACGCATAATACACAACGTATAAGAAAATCAACCAATCAGAGTTCTTCATTTCTATCCTAAGAGAAATGAAGAAAACTAATTGGTTTATTCTCTTATGCGCTGTGTATTATGCGTTATGCAAAAGCCTGTGCTCTTGCCCTACCAGCTTACCACTTAAACAATATTACTAACCTTTAGGAATTAAAACTATGTCGTCTAGAAGTTTTCCTTGATACCAACCTTGTCTCCGCCATTTTTCGGGAAACTGTCGCGTTACCCACAGATGACTATGGTTTTGATGTGGAAATCTGATCGAAATTGGCGTCAATCTGCGCGCACTCTGCTAGCATTTTGCTTACTGGGGTGTTATACACAAAGGCATTTTGTGGGCCATATATTGGCTGCGTTTTGATATTCACTGCCAGTACTGAAAATACATAGTTTGTGTCACGTATACTATAGATTTTCAGTACTGGCATTGAATATCGGAATGCACCACATCTCGAATGATATTTTAGATAATATATAGCTAATAAAACGCTTTTGTGTAACAGTGTCCCTTGTTGGAAAGCAAGGATATGATATAGCAAAGCAAACTAGTGAAAAACACTGCTTAAAATATAAATATCGACATAATTGTCATAATTCGACACAAAATTTGTTGTCGAATAATTTCACGGGAAATATTTCGCATTTTCACTATATATGAAAGTTACACAATCTAGTGAATACTCACTTTTGTCATTTTCACTAGGTTTAGTGATACACAATTCACCCCCAGGTGATTTTTTAGATGATTTTTTACCTGACATTTTAAAATAACATCATTTTACTTTGTTACCTGTCTTTTTCCTACCTATGATTTATCATCTTATTCCTTGTTAGAGGTGTCATTCAAAATAACTAATCAAGTGATAAAAAAATAATGTGATCAGGTGAAAATCAGGTGAAAAATAATCAAGTCATAAGAAAAAGTAATATATCACACAAAAAATCAATTAGAAGATCACCTGAAGAATCGCCTAAAGATTTTCAGTAAGGTAAGTATCTTTATATGTGACTGTGGTACACGAATACCGCGCTACTACTCACTTCAAAGTGTTAGATCACCTTCTTCCCATAGATGCATTTGTTTGAGGATTTTATATTTTAAATATGATACCCTGAGATAATTTTTAGGAAAGTATGATGAAAGACCCAGATAGCACAAGATGTCTTAGGGACGTCCATTTTATGTCCATTTTACGTCCGCACGTCCATGAATGTGAAATGGACATCCATCGTATATCCGATTTTGGACTCATCAAAACGTCCATATTAGGACATCCATAGGATGTCCAATGTTGAACGTCAATGGTCATTATTCAAAAATTTTTATAGTGAATTTGATTGCTTGCACTAATGCACACTAAGTGTACTTTAAGGCTTGTTTAGATTTCGTTTGTATATATTAGGATATATTGATATATATAGGGTGCTAAATTTAAAATGTAACAAGTAAAAAATCCCGAAAATTATGAAAGATATTAAAAAAAGCTAAAATAGGTGTTGCATGATTTCGAAGGGAAAAGAAAATGGCATTATCAGGTTTTTTATTTGGAGGGCATTTTCAAGGTCAGTTGAAAATCAACTTAATTTTTTAAAATAGAAAGCCCAATTTTTTATTATATCTTCTCTTTCTACCAATTAATTTTAACAACTTATGTTTGAAACATTTTTTATTTGCCTAATACTTTTTGAAATATTTAAGGAAAATTTGGTAACTTTTCAAACATTTAACTTACGATATCTCGTTAACTATTCGTCGAAAGATAAAATAGTATTAGACTTTTTTGCTTTATTCACTATCAAGAATATATTACTATAATAGTGCCCTAACTTTTGTTAATTTAATAATTTTGAAATTAAATTTTATATATTGATATAAAAATAAATAATATATTTTGCATTTCAGAATTTTATTGTTGTTGATAAACCTTTCTTTTACGTATTTTTGAATGTTTATTTTGCTAATAATTATGAATAGTGGAGAATTGAAAATGATGTCCACTTTAGATCCTTGGTTTGGATATTCTATGAACGTCCAGAATTGTGAAAAACGGACATCCTATGGATGTCTTATAAACGTCCGTTGGATTTTTTTGGACGTCTTATGGACATCCCGAAGTCCAAATTCGAACGTCCACTGGACGTCCGTGTGATCTGAGGACTTAGCATAGCTAACAGACGCCTTAGAAGATAGTTAAATAAACTGCCAAACACGTCAATAGCGTTAATCCCATGTAAAATGCAAATTTTCAAACTGTCATTTTACAATAACTACTTGTTTGTTCAGGAAACCATTTGGGGTATTGATGAGTCCCATCATGAACAATAAAATCACGGAGTATCGTGTTATTTGATGAAGGACCAAAAAACGGCCTTATTGCAATTCATCCTTTTCGTTATTTTTTCTCAAATGTTATTGAAGTTATCGGTCTCGCGTTTGCGGCGCAATACAGCACAAACGTAGCATAATTCAGCACAATTAATGAAAATATAGAATTCGGAAAAGTGGGGACTATCTGATATTCGTTTTCTTTAAATTCCTCGAATACGCTTTGAACTATTGAGTTGCGCTTTGCGGCACAATACAATACAAACGTAGCATAATTCAGCACAATTAACGAAAATAGAAAATTTGAAAATGTGGGGTCTAACTTCACATACATTAAGATGCAGGCGTTTACGTTGAATGCCTAATGCGGTGAACTCATAGATGCACGTAATAACATAGTATTTTTATAATTTCTGTTAGACTACGACCGACGAAGTGTTAACCTCTGTTCTTTTTAATTTTGCCCGTCATAAGGAGGAAGGAAAGTCTATAACTCACGACTGAACTGAATGTAAAATTAAAAATTAAACTTTTAATATTACGGGAACGAACATGCGTTAAAAAGTAGTAAAAATGGCATTCTCAAGATAAATATTCTTTACAAAGAAATACAAATTTGTCGATTTTCTTAAAAGTAAAAATATCTTATGCTTTTCAAATTATGATTAATTTATTTTTATTTTCCGTTTTCCTCATTAGAATTTCCAAAGTTTATTTTCCAGTTTGGGAATGTTCACATAATAAAATATTTTATCTTTAAACGTCGAAACACTTCATTTTTAATTATAACTAATTTAATTCTATAAAATTTTATATAATTTAATAATTTTATATAATTAATTAAATATATTAGATAGTTTAAAGTACTTCATTCCCCATTAATCCTTGCTACTTGACGATATTAATCCGTTCATGCCGGAAAACATTATCATCAACTATTGCGTTTTACTTTTAATCGTACGCGTTTGAGGAGAGAAACACGGTCTCGCAGACCCCCCTTGCGGCACTCGATATGATTAACGGAAATTATAAAAATAATGTGTACAATGTTATTACATGCATTCTCACTCGGCAAGCAGTATTTCAGCAATATATCAGCAATGCTGATAGGTTGCAGATTGGGTTGATAAGCTCATCGCATTATACATTCAACTATGTTTATTGTAGCGTCTATGTTTAACAGTGAGTTGTATCGTACCTGTCTATTTCCTGTACTTGACTTAATAAACAAACTATTCATTTTTACAACTCAAAAACTAAGCTTCAGATAACATTTTGTAACGAAAAATCATCGCAAAATTCGTTGAAGAATGTCATTTCAAGGATAGCAAGTAGTTTTAAATCACCCTGCATCGATGATGAGGTATCTGCGGAATTGAATATAGAAAACTAATTAATAACAGAAATAACAATCCAATTCACAATTTTTTTATGGATAAGAGTTTAGTTAATCAATAAAATGGTGAGAAAGTAACAAAGTAACATTATTTATTATTGTAATTTCTTCTCAAAACATTTGAATAAAATTATGAATAATCGAAACTGAAAAATCGCATTTAACTTAAAACAATTCTAATGGGAATAAAATTCTAGAAAAAATTTTGATTTCCAGAAACATTAAAAATAACACAAACTCTGAACATGATTACTTAGAATAATAAATTAAGTGTATATAATTATACAATATCTTATAATTAATTAAATATATTTAATAGCTGCAAGATACGCGCTAGCGTAAGCGTACGTGTATCTTGTTATACATGGTATTTCAGAAATAGATGGGCAACTTTTAAAGCATATTCTATTCATTGCAAGGATGGAAAAAAGTCATATGAGGTGTCTTAAAAATACTGGAACCCCCGGATAACTTTGCAGGATTAAGTTTTTATGAAAAACTTTAAATACAAAAGTTGTAGAAAATCGAATAACGGACTTGATGGTGACCTTGAGTTTGACTTTGGCCATGACCTTCAAGGTCATTTAGAAATGAACTTGCGTTTTTTAAAATGGAAACTTTTATTTTTTATTATACTATTTTTTTCTACCAATTAATTTGAACAACTTTTGTTTAAAACATTTTTTTATTTGCCTAATATTTTTTGAGATGTTTGAGGAAAACTTGATAACTTTTTCAATATTTAACTTACGATATGTCGCTAACTATTTGTCGGAAGAAAAAGTGATATTAGACTTTCTTACTTTATTTAGTCTCAAGAATATATTGTTACAATAGTGCCACGATTTTTGTTCATTTGATGATTTTGAAATTTCCAAAAATCAGTTAACAAGGAAAAGTTAACAAAAGTCAAGGCGCTATTGTAACAATATTTTCTTGAGACTAAATAAAGCAAGAAAGTCTAATACCATTATATTTTCCGATAAATAGTTAACGAGATATCGTAAGTTAAATATTGAAAAAGTTATTAAGCTTTCCTCAAATATCTCAAAAAATATTAGGCAAATAAAAAAATGTTTTAGACAAAAGTTGTTCAAATTAATTGGTAGAAAAAAACTGGTGGAAAAAAATTGGTATAAAAAATAAGGGTTCCCATTTAAAAAATGCAAGTTGACCTCCAAATGATCTTGAAGGTCATGGCCAAGGTTAAATTCAAGGTCACCATCAAGTCTGTTACTCGATTTTCTACAACTTTTGTATTTAAAGTTTTTCATGAAAACTTGATCCTGCAAAGTTATCCGGGGGTTCCGATATTTTTAAAACATCTCGTATAAACTGGGTCCTGAAACGTTTCTTTTCCAAGTTGTAAACATTTTCTATTTATAACAGACGTTTGTAAGAACTTAGCTATTATCTTGATATTATCTTAATTTTTAACTCTTAAACGCTTATGTAAAGATTTATTCTAATTTCAAATATATCTATCTGCTAAATTATTTACTTCTAACAGAAAATGAATAAAGGATAATGTCTGATACGTCGATGCGAAACATGTCTGTTGTAAATATAAAATGCTTATAACTCTAAAAGGAAGCGTTCCCGGAGCTATGTTTATATGACCTTTCATTCTTACCTTTTTCATTTTTACAGTGAGTAGAATATGCTCTTAAAGTTTAAACACTTATTTCTGTAAACACTCTGTATAGAAAAATTCGTTTTTATTGCTAAAACTTCAAATAATTAATAACTCTTCTAATCAAATACTTATTACATATAAAATGGATATAAGGAAGAATAAAGAGAGAAATAAGGAGAGGAAGAAAGAGAGGGGGAGAGGAGGAGAGAGAGAGAGAGAGAGAGAGAGGGGGGAGAGAGAGAGGGGGGGAGGGGGGAGGGAGAGAGGGGGAGGAGAGAGAGAGGGGGGAGGGAGAGAGGGGAGGAGAGAGAGAGAGGAGGGGAGAGAGAGAGCATATTTCAAATACAATCTGACACTTAAATATATATAATGTAGAATATACTTATAAATAAATAATATATCTTTTATATGCCATGAAAAGCGCGCACGTACGCATACGTGCGCACGTACTCATACATATATATTTAAAGTTTGAAATTTAAATTATATTAATAGCAAATTTCACTAACTGAATTATGAACTGTCAATAATTTGATTTTGGATAGAAATGGATGTTATGCAATATGGAACTCTGTAATTTCTGATTTTTCCTATTCCATGTTGTAAAATATGCTTAACAATATGTTGTTCGTTACTAACAGTTAATAACAGTTGAACAATATAACTGTTATATATTATTATCTGAAAGAGGGTACTATCAGAATTAATACCCAAATATTTTACTTTTTATTTTTTCTTTTAAGTTATAACTAAAAAACTGGTTTTTGAACTTAATTCCATATTGCATAATTATATCCAACGTCAATTAAAATACTATAACATTTGTAATACTCGTATGTTAAATATTTCTGGCGATGAACCTTTGTAGTTTTAATTCAAGGTATATTTGCCCAAAACAGCTATTTAGCAAACGTTATTCAAAAAATACAAATGACTCAACTTTATGAACGAATTAACAATGATTACGTATAATTAACTATGAGTTTTGGTAGAAAACTTGCTATAATACTAACATATAATAGCGCAGACATATAAAGGCTTAGGCCTTTAATAAAGGATTCAATACAAGGCCAATATCTGCGCGATCACAGTATTTGGAATATCTGTGCAGATTTTTCGATCTACACAAATAATCAGGCGCTATAATTCGACTAGAATCACATTGCAATGATCGATTTCAAACAGCGTCGTCCATAGAAGTAGGTTTAATAGCGAGCGTAGACGATGGAACTCCAAGGCGATCACGTATGCGCTTATCACCCTCGAGTATATCCTCACCGAAGAAGAAACCCTCATGCACTTCTTCCCGCGCTGGCTCTGGTGGCGCTAGGACATCCTGACCATGGTGCTTCAAATGATCTTTAAGAGCAAATGCTCGACCATACGATGCGCCACATATATAACAACTATATTTGAGGTTGTTATCTTTTTTATGCGTCTGAATATGCGACCGGGCAGCATAGAGCGACGCGAATGGTCGCGAGCACTCGGTACATCGAAACGGTTTAGTGTGACTATTCTTGTGACCAGCGAGTTGCACACGTGTCTTGAATGTCTTTGGGCAGTACGGACACGTATAAGCACGTGTGTCACCATGCGTCAGCATATGATGATTATAAACGGAGGAAGCCTTGAAACGTTTACCACAGTGTTGACATGTATAAGGTCGCACACCCGTGTGCGTACGCATATGTAAAGTCAGGCAATAGGATACGCGGAAAGTCTTGCCACAGACCTACCAGCAGATAGAGACCATTGTTTTCTTTATTCTTTTTTCTTCTTAATCGCATATGTAATATAATAATTATCGATAAAAAGAGAATTTCTAAAAATTAATGAATACATTAATAAACGAGACAGACAAGAGAAAGAGGAGAGGAGAGAGGAAGAGGAAGAAGAGAGAGAGAGAGAAGAAAGGGGAGGGAAGAAAGGGGACAGAGAAGGAAAAGAGAAAAAGGGAGGAGTGAAAAAGGGAAAGGGAAGGAGAGAAATAAGGAAAGGGAGAGGGAAGGAGGAGACAGGGAGAAGAGGGGGGGAGAGAGAGATCAGATAGTCATGCATATCTCATAACTTTATGCCTCCATATTTAAAACTTGCTACTGTACCAATTGCATATTTCCCAAACTGTTAGGAATTTCTTAATTTTTACTTCTCCTTTCTTATATATTCAAATTTATCATAATATTTTAATATTTTTTTGAACAGACCAAGATATTAAAATCTGTTTTATAAATAAAAATTTCAAATTATGCGGTCGCTTCTCAATCATGTCATTTGATATTTAGCAAAAGCTGATAATACAAAAAATGATATCCACCTACCTCACAGGCGTGTGGCTTCTCTCCAGTGTGAATTCGTTCATGCTTGACCTTTTCATGAGGTCTAGTAAATCTACGACCACAGTGCTGACATTGATAAGGTTTTTGACTTTCACTAGTCTCCATCGTCGCTATCGCACTCGTCGCTGTTGTAGTTGTTATTGTTGTAACTGTCATTGTAGTTGTCGCTGTTGTTAACGTTGTCTCTGCGATTGGTACTATCTCTTCAGCAGTTGAGGTTGAAATCGAAACACATGGAGTAGGTGATTGTGGGGGCACTAGATCAGTATGTACTGCTGCGTGCATCGCTAAACTGTCCGAGGAATCAAATTTTCTGTTACAGACAGCACACGTTACTGAATCACCTGTGTGCAGCGCCATGTGCGCGTCTTTGTATGATTCAGATAAAGTCTTACCTATAAAATATCAATATTTAAATTAATTTAGATATTCAAGGAACTCTGAAAGGATTACTTGGATAAATATGATCAAGTCGTTTTATTACCGCATTCGAGGCAAGTAAAAGTCGCCGTAGGGGTTCCTTCGGGTGCGTCAACATGCCTGGCCCTTATAGGAGCATGCATTCTTGAATGCAGTCGCAAGCTTTTATGAGAGCAGAATTCAGTGCCACACGTTGTACAAATAAATGTTTTCTGCCCGGAATCGACTCGATTTTCATGTACCTTTGTATGGAGTTGTAAGGCCTTAGGGGTTGCAAAGCTTTGATCGCAATGGTCGCAGCGATTGTTACCATGTAAACAGGCATGTACACGAAAGTTTCCTAATTTGGAAAACTGTTGCGAACATTGATTGCATTTGTACATTCGCAATGGTGCAGCCGCCAGGCGTTTTTCCCGTACCTGCGCAGCATCATACACTAATCCTTATTCAATATTTTAGGCGAAAATTTTCTTCCAGTAATCAAGCGTAAATCGCACCTTAATGCCTTCAACATTTGAGAAGAATTTCTCAATCATTGGAGCCTTCGATGATTGCGACGTCGCAACCTGAATCGGCGTTCGGTCCCAAAATCTCTCAATTTGTACTACTTTCCTAGTATACAGCCTACCTTCGCTATCAATGCACTCTTCTGTGCGTAGTGTATTCATAGTTTGTCTTTGCCGTGTATTATCCATATTTTCTGAACTTTCAGGTAACGTAGACATCGAACTTACGGGTACTGTCGTCGCCAGATCATCCAATTGTTCTGCCATTTCTAATAGAACTTCTTGACCATCATGAAATTGCTTAATGTGTTCCAAGACAGAATTAAAACTCATGTCACAGCTGGTACAGCTATATACAGCATCTGATTCCATCTATGGAAGAAACAACAATATTACATATTATAAAAACTATAAATATATGAAAGACAAATGAATTTCATAAAATCCCATATTGTTTCTGCATAAAAAAAGTATATTATTTATAAGTTAACTAGTCCAAATCTTTACCTCACACAATTCTTGTTTAACACGTAGAAGATCAGCTTCATTCAACTCTCCCATGTCATTTATATGATCAACATCAATGAAGGTTGTAATGTCACCATCCACAAGCTCAGAATTTTCTGATAATACAGCAATCACACTCTTGTCTAATGATGCTTCTTTACGTTCTGCAATACAGCTCGATATAGGAATAGCCACTAATCCCTGAGATGATTGTGGTCTTCTTTGTTTTTCACCACTAATACCACAAAAACTTTCAGACATCTTGAAATCCAGGGAGTTTTGACCTGGTTGTATTTCATCCAAGTCCAGCTTTTCTACAACTTTAATCTCTCCTAATATTTATATTAGAAATATTTAGATTTTTAGAATTTTATATAACAAAACAGCAATTCTACAAACCATTCTCATCCACTTGTATTGTTTGCGGATCACCAACTATTACAATTCCAGTATCATTCACAGTCGCTAAAAAGCTTCGATTGATCTGCTGTACTTTAATATCCTGAAAAATTAACTATTGCAGTTACAAAATATAATTAGTATAAGTAAATTAGCAATTACTTTTAATATTATATACATGATAAAACTTTAAAATTATCTCAAATTAGTTAATTATGTAAACTTAAGGTTAGAAAATGTTTATTTAAAATAATAGCAACAATTTACTTTTATAAACTTTTAAAATAACCTTTTATACATATTTAAGATTTTATTCTTATATTCTCTTTAGGACTCAGAATATTAAATTTAAGATTACTTTTCAAGACATTAAGGTTTTTAATTTCAGATGTTTTTATTTCAAAATTTGTTTGCTTTTTCTCTACGAACCGCTAGGATATTTCCTTTATTTTCTGACTCTTTGCTGACTTTTCGAGCTTTATCCATCAAAACTTCAGATTTTATTTTGCGCTGCAAACCTTGCTGACATTTGTCTAAATGTTGGATGAGTGCAACCACAGAATCAGAACGCTGCGAACAGCCAGGGCAATAAAGATTGTCCGTTATACTTAACAAGTGATATTTCAACGATTGAGGATTATTAAAGGTTTCACCGCAACACATTGGGCAAACAAGGTTTAGTGAGCCCATAATTGTTAACTCCTAGATTTGTCAACTTCTTGAAATCAAATTCGAACCGCTTCGCGCTGTTACAAAACTTCCAATGCAACTAGGCAACTTAACCTAGTTAGAGACGTTGAAAAAGATGTTTGCTATCGCCGAAATTAATCTGTAGAAATCTCATCTTACTGATGAACTTGCCAATTCTTTAGCAAAATGATGAAATGATACGCTCACTTAACGAATTCTCTTTTTTCGGAGCAATCTACTGCAACTGAGTCAACAACGGCAACAACAAATTCACTAGGGACGAACTTCAGCGCAAACAAAAGCCGCACACAACTGTGAAGTTGGAACATTGATAAGTGAATCGCGAAGTCAGCCATTATAGTACAATTGCTCACGTGGTCACCAGTTTCCGGTTTAAGTTCGATAATTTTTTTCTGCGTATTGTCTTTTATGTATATTTTAAGTTTGTACCTGATATATTTTGTTTATAATTTATCTGTTTAATAAAAATAAAATTCAATAAAAATAAGTTCAATTAAATTCTATCTCGTATGTGTGTGTGTATAAAAAGTATAATTTAATATTTTTATGTATACAGAGTGCTTGGGAACTCTTGGAAACAAAAAATTGTGAAGATTAATCAGATCAAACTGAAAAAAAGTCATGTACCATTTTGCAAAAATCGCAATAGTTCTTAAGTTATTTATGATTGAAAATGACCACATCTAGAGGCTCTTATTTGATAACTTGAAAATTTGTGTACTTATTTGCAAAATGATAAAGGATTTTTTTGTTCAAAATTACCTAATCTACAATTATATGACAGCTATTGCCATCTAATGTTGTCTAATGATAGATATGAATATATTAAATTTTGAACCCTGAATCTTGATCCTGTCATTAGGCATAATAGCTGTCATATAAATGTAGATTAGATTATTCTAAACAAAAAAGTCTTTTACCATTTCACAAATAAGTATGCAAATTTTCAAGTTATCAATTAAAAAAGTTTCTAGATGTGGTTATTTTCAATTTTTGATAACTTAATAACTATTGCAATTTTTGCAAAACGGTACTTGACTTTCCTTCTCAACTACCATTTTGTTAACAAATGGCACCACTTTTGAGATATTCACTCATCATTACTTTTCTTAAATGAAAACCCCAATTTTTTATTACACCGTCTTTTTCTACCAATTAATTTAAACAACTTCTGTCTGAAAACATTTTTTTATTTGCCTAATATTTTTTGAGATATTTAAGGAAAACTTTATAACTTTCTCAATATTTAACTCACCATTTATCTTGTTATTTGTTGGAAAAAAAATTGGTGCTAGACTTTCCTGCTCTATTTAATCTCAAGAATATATTGTTATAATAGCGTCCTGATTTTTGTTAACTTACTGACGTTTGGAAATTTCAAAATCATCAAATTAACAAAAATCAGGGTGCTACTGTGATAATATATTCTTGAGACCAAATAGAGTAGGAAAGTCTAGTACTACTTTTTCTTCCGACAAATAGTTAACAAGATATCGTTAACGAGTTAAATATTGAAACAGTTATCAAGTTTTCTTTAAATATTCCAAAAACTATTAGGCAAATAAAAAATGTTTCAGACAAAAGTTGTTTAAATTAATTGGTAGAAAAGATAGTGTAATAAAATTTAGGGTTCCCATTTAAAAGTAATGATCAGTGAATATCTCAAAAGTGGTGCCATTTGTAAACAAAATAGTAAAGTTGTTTTATGTCCCCCTTGAAATCATACTTCTTTTGTCCGAAACATTTTTGCTGAAAATGCTTCATTAAGGAATTATCAAAGTGCGTTTTTTAAAATGGGACACCCTGTGTGTATATATATATATATATATAAATGATTCTTCCTACATACTTTATTTCTTCTCTTCTAATTCTTGAGAAATGTATAAACACAATTTCTATACCTAATTAAAATACAAAAAATATGGTAGTTTTGTCATTTTATGCTAAGTTCTACATTTGCTTTGTGTTTATATAATATATATAAATTAATGAAATATTGATTTAATTGGAAGCTTTGGAAACATTTACAAATATGAATTTTTTTTTGTAATACTCAATACAACTTATATTTTAAAACATCCCAGATCTCCAATGTTCATGAAATATCAGTCTATTTTACTTTTTCTATTTACATGTTTACAAAATGAATTGTAATTAAATTAAACTATTTAAATAATTAATTTATATCCTAGGAAAAGTTTATTTATATAGGTTATATTCTAGTCGACATGTTCATGTTGTGCATTACTTTCACGCCAAGTGTTCTGAATAACTTCGACGAACTGCTGCCACCACCTGCTACGTGATATGAAGTATAACATACAAGCAATATTGAAAATCCAAGATAGAACAAGACAGTAGTCTGTCTCGTTAGAAGGTGTGCTTGAAACTGGTCCAGTGAAATCCGCTGAGGTAACATACAACGAACCGTTCGGTTGTAAATTTGTCAACTGAGATGTAAATTTGGCAAATGATTCCAAAGTATAAATTGTGTCATTGAATTTAGCAACTGGTTTGCCATTATGAACTAGCATTAATGTCGGCACCCCAACTATTCCATATTGCGCATTGAAACTAAAAATGTTCCATTTTAATTATTACAATTTCAATTATAATTAATAGTAAAACAAATAATAAATTAAAAAATGTAAATTTTCTACAAATATTCTTAATTATTTTTACCTTTGATGTTTTATGGCATCGATAGCTACAGCTTTTATATGAAGAAATGATCGAGGTATAGCATTGAAATGTGGTGCAGCTTGACTACTAAAGACACATGACCTAGCATAAAATAATACTAAAATACATGTTCCTGGCAACTGTTTACTTTCTTTGCCATTTCTTGAGCGATTTGATGGACCAGGTTCCAGAATCAATAACTCCATGAGCCTTGTCGCATTGACAATCTAAGATATAAAAAAAATAATTATAAAGATCATTGATAAATGGTTATTTTTATATTGAGTTAAAAGTTTTGAAACAGCTAATGTAAAAATTGTTACATTTTATTATAGTATTATATATAGATTTCTTTTATATATCTAAATATAATATTAACTGTTCTAAAACTTTTGTCATTTTCTAATAATAAAATACAATTTTTGTAAAACCTCAACAGGACCATAGATCTTCTCCAATGAACAATTAACTTTAGTAATATTTGTTGACATAGTATTGGTAATATTTGTTGTTACTTCAGCTTTTGCTTTTACATAATCTTTTCCTTCATCTGCATGAATTTGTTCACTTTTGTCTTGATTGAAAATATTTTTGATTTTAGATTGTGTTACAGATTCTTCTATGGCTTCCTTACCATATATAATACAAACTAAAAAATATAAGTAATCATTAAATTTTATATTAGTTTAAATAATTGAATAATTAGGAAAAATTGTCTCAACATTTTTTATGATAAATAAGGATACAGCAATCATATTTTTTTATAAATATATAATAATTATAATAAATTATATATCATAATAATTAAATTAATTAGTTTTTCCTCTTTTTCTTACCTAAATATAAGAAAAATATAATATGTACAAAATTTGCTCCTAAGGAACACATATTCCATATATGGTATGCATCAAGTTATATAAATAACAATTGCAAAGCAAATTACATTCACAATATTTGTTAATTCCAACTAGGCTATTTATTAAAGTTCCTTAGGAAGTTCCTTAGTTTTATCTATAACATAGAAATGAATGAACATAACCTACAAATATAATTAAAAGTGATTTAAATAGTAAGATTTTTTAGAGGTAATTATTATTATTTTACAAATATACTTTATATAAAATATAATTTGAATTTACAGATGTTTTATATCTATTTAATTTATAACCTATAATTTACTTTGTAATTTACATCTTCTACCTTGCGCATTCTTACCTTTAACGTTCTTTTATCTATTAAGGTACTATTATCTGTAAAATGTCATATCCTATCGGTTATAATTTTAAATTCTTTCTTGTTTATAAATATCAAACAGCTAAATATAAAATAATCATTTTCATATTGTAATTTTATTGTATTATAATAAATGTTTCATAAACAATCGAATGATTGTCTACGAAGTCTACCAATCTATGAGGTCTGTTGGAGTAAACTATCAAAGATAATCGTAATGAAATATATTACCATTGAAAAATTGAAGATGGTAGTTAAAAACAAATCCAACTTTGGTTCTGGTTCTGGTTCAACAAATGGCTCTGAGCTGAGCTATTATATTCTATTTTCTACGCCAGTCAACGATTATGAAAGTAAAAGAAAAACAGGGATAACGCGTACGCAGCCCCACGATCAAAAATACACATAATTCCAAGAACCACATCCAACCGCCACGGAGGCGAACAAAAGACTTAAGGGTTTATACAGGGCTGTTAAGGTCATTCTACAATGAGGTTGTAATAGTATGCAGTAGGCAAATTGACCAATCACAGTCGATTATTCTTCGATCGTAAAGAGAACAGTCGATCGTGATTGGTCAATTTGCCTACTGCATACTACTACAACCTCATTGTAGAATGACCTTTAAGGGTCTACAGGAGCCAGAGACAAATCCAGCGTTGACTTTGGAGGCCTCGTGCGGCGAGATCGCGAACCAACACCGTGCGCGCGAGCGCAAGAGCAGGAAGGTTAGGTCAAGTCAGTTTGACAAGGACGAACAATCGATCGCACTGTCCTTGTCTTACTCACTCGGACATTTCGCCGGCCGATACACAGCTAGAAAATACTTTCCAGACTTTTGGGCGAGTGAGCCAAGCGTCGCAGCGACTTACGTGCAATACCATTTTACAAATTGACGTATTTTGTCTAGCTGACGTTATATATCACCGCCAAATTATTATAGCATGTTCCTTATATTATTCCCGAGATCTCCACAAAGCCAGATTTTGCAATCTGGCCGTTCAAAATTTATGAAAAATAAATGAAGCGTCCGCCGTACCAAGCATCGCAGTGAATCACTCCAAAAATTATTTTACAAGATGCAAAATTTCGCCTCGTTGATGATACGTATAATTGCTAAACTGTTACAGCATCTTCCTTGAACTATCCCTGAGGACCTTACACAGCCAGATTTTACAATCCGGCCGTCCAAAATTTATAATATATAAATAAAATATCAACCGTATCAGGAATTGCAACGAGTCAGGTGGAATACCATTTTACAAGAAGCAATATTTTGCCTTATTGACGTAATGACCATAAACTTGTTATAGTTACTTGTTATATCTTCCTACAACTATTTCCGAGATCTCTACAGAGTTAGATTTTACAAATAGGCTGTCAACAATTTATTATACATAAATAAAGTGTCAGCTGTACCAAATCGCAGCGAGTCAGGCGGAATACAATTTTATAAGAACAAATATATTGCCTCGTTGACAATATATATAACCGCCAAATTATTATGGTATCTTCCTTGAACTATCCCCGAGAATCCTACAGAGCCAGATTTTGCAATCCGGCCGTCAAAAATTTATTATACATTAATAAAGCGTTCGCTGTACCAAGCGTCGCTGCGAGTCACTCGAAATATCATTTCACGAGATGCAATATTTCGTCTCTTTGACGATACGTATTACTAAATTGTTGCAGCATCTTCTTCGTACTATTCCCGAGATCGGTACAAAGCCGAATTTTGCGATCCGGTCGTCAAAAATTTATAATATATAAATAAAGCGCCCGTCGTACCAGGCGTTAGGGCGAGTCAGTTGAAAAATCATTGTAGGAGATGCAAAATTTCATCTCGTTGACGATATGTTTCACCACCATATTGTTATAGCATCTTTTTTTAACTATCTCCGAAAAACCTACAGAGCCAGATTTTGCAGTGAGGCTGTGAGAAATGTATCATAAATAAATAAAGATGTATGAAGCGTCGGAGCGGACAATACCATTTTACAAAATGAGATATATTACTTCACTGATGTAATATATCATCATCATATTGTTATTGCATATCTCTAAAACTATTCCCAAGATCCTCACAAAGCCAGATTTTGCAATCGGGCTGTCTAACTTTTATTAGAAATAAATAAAGATGCATCAAGCGTCAAGGTGGATCACGCGAATACAATTTCACAAGAAGAGATATTCCGCCTCGTTGGCGATATATATAACCGCCAAATTGATATGGAATATTCCTTGAACTATTATCCAGGTCCCTACAGAGCCAAATTTTGCATTCCGGCTGTCAAAAATTTATCATATATTAATAAAGCGTGCGTCGTACGAAACATCGCAGTGAGTCCTGCGAAATACCATATTACAAGAAAAAATATTTTTCCTCGTTGCTGTCATATATCAGCCCCAAATTGTTATAACATATTCCTCGATCTATCCCCGAGCTTTCTACAGAGCCAGATTTCGCAATCAGGCCGCCTAACATTTGATATATAAAAAATTCAACGCTATCTATCACGAATGAAAAAAATTGTTTCCATAAAAACTTCACGTAAAATCTAATTCTGCAATGAAAAATGTGGGTTCTCATTTGAGATTTGAACGTTACCACCCACCTTACCCCGAGGAGATGGGGGGGGGATAACTGTTATTATGGTTTTTAAAAATATTTTTCAAAATATTGAACAGGTATTTTTTTATTTTTCAATCCGATGATCATTTCTGGAGAATTGCAGAAAATCTAATTTATTGCGATTACAGCGCCATCTATCACGAATCAAAAAAAAAAGTTTCGGACGAAACTTACATATTTTGTGGCGTAGAATCCGAATCTGCAATAAAAAATGGGGGTTCTCATTTAAGATTTCAAAGTTGCTCCCCACCCCCACCCCCCAGGAGTGGGGTGGGAGGTCGAGTTTAATATCATTGGATGTCCCCCTTCGAGACGAACAAATTTCATTACCCACTTTTTTTGATCCGACATGTAGTTTTCCAGATATTACGATTTGTCAGGTTAAATGGGACACCCCGTATATGTGTTAATAATCAAAACCCTGCTTTATAGTGACGTTAGAAATAATACAAGGAATACGGCCGAACAATTTGATGGTAATATATTACATTAACGAGGCAATATTTCTCATGTTCCAAAATTGTACGTGACATGCTGCAATGCTCGGTACAGTCTTTTATATATGATAAATGTTAGGCGGCCTGACTGCGAAATCTGGCTTTGTAGAGACCTCGGGGATAGATCGAGGAATATGTTATAACAATTTGGTGCTGATATATGACAGCAACGAGAAAAAATATTTTTTCTTGTAATATGGTATTTCGCAAGACTCGCTGCGATGTTTCGTACGACGCACGCTTTATTAATATATGATAAATGTTTCACGGCCGGAATGCAAAATTTGGTAGGGACCTGGATAATAAATAGTTCAAGGAATATTCCATATTAATTTGGCGGTTATATATATCGCCAACGAGGCGGAATATCTCTTCTTGTGAAATTGTATTCGCGTGATCCACCTTGACGCTTGATGCATCTTTATTTATTTCTAATAAAAGTTAGATAGCCCGATTGCAAAATCTGGCTTTGTCAGGATCTTGGGAATAGTTTTAGAGATATGCTATAGCAATATGATGATGATATATTACATCAGTGAAGTAATATATCTCATTTTGTAAAATGGTATTGTCCGCTCCGACGCTTCATACATCTTTATTTATTTATGATACATTTCTCACAGCCTCACTGCAAAATCTGGCTCTGTAGGTTTCTCGGAGATAGTTCAAAAAGGATGCTATAACAATTTGGCGGTGAAACATATCGTCAACGAGGTGAAATTTGCATCTCCTACAATGATTTTTCAACTGATTCGCTCTAACGCCTGGTACGACGGGCGCTTTATTTATATATTATAAATTTTTGACGACCGGATTGCAAAATCCGGCTTTGTACCGATCTCGGGAATAGTACGAAGAAGACGCTGCAACAATTTGGTAATAATACGTATCGTCAAAGAGACGAAATATTACATCTCGTGAAATGATATTTCGAGTGACTCGCAGCGACGCTTGGTACAGCGAACGCTTTATTAATGTATGATAAATTTTTGACGGCCGGATTGCAAAATCTGGCTCTGTAAGATTCTCGGGGATAGTTCAAGGAAGATACCATAATAATTTGGAGGTTATATACAGGGTGTTTGATAGCTGATCATACAGACGAAAGTTGGAGATAGATTGGGTGTAGCCGAGAAGAAAAGTCATGTACCATAATGTCAAATTGGCAATAGTTATCGAGTTATTAATTAAAATATGTGAGCCAACGAGCGCGTAGAGAGCGGAGGGCGACCGTAGTAAGCTCGTAGACATTTGATACAGGCGGAGTCAGCGAGTAACAGTAGGCGAGCGCGCGCTGCGAGGGGCAACGTAAGCGACAAGAGGCGATCGCGCGCGACGGGGGAGCGAGCGAGCTTTTTCTTTATAGCTTTTTCCTTATAGCTCACTCGCTCCTCGTCGTTCGCGCTCGCTCGCTCCTCGTCGTTCGCGCTCGCTCGCTCTTCGTCGCGCTCGCTCGCCTCTTGTCGCTTGCGCTCGCTCACTCCTCGTTGTTCACGCTCGCTCGTTCCTCGTCGCGCGCGCTCGCCTCTTGTCGTTTACGTTGCCCCTCGCCGCGCGCGCTCGCCTACCGTTACTCGCTGACTCTGCCTGTATCAAATGTCTACGTGCTTACCGCGGTCGCCCTCCGCTCTCTACGCGCTCGTTGGCTTACATGTTTTAATTAATAACTCGATAACTATTGCCAATTTGACATTATGGTACATGACTTTTCTTCTCGGCTACACCCAATCTATCTCCAACTTTCGTCTGCATAATCAGCTATCAAACACCCTGTATATATATTTATTTATTTATTTATTACGTTTTTTACCTTATTGACTTTATGTTCTCATTCGTCTCATTTATTTTGTTATACGCACTTTATGTTTTCATTTATATCATTTTTATTTAATATTATAAAGTATTTTACATTTATAATTTGAGGATACATGATATTTGTGACATACGTGCGTACATCTGTCAAAAAGTTTGCGCAAACAGAATAACAGAGCGCTAACAGAGTAACAGCTTACCACTTAAACAATATTACTAACCTTTAGGAATTAAAACTATGTCGTCTAGAAGTTTTCGTTGATACCAACCTTGTCTCCGCCATTTTTCGGGAAACTTTCGCGTTACCTTTGTGCCGTTTGCGGCTGTCATTGCAGCGAATGACAGCTGAGTGACAGTTTGTACAAACCGAGTAATAACGGGGTTATATCAGGTTAACAATTTTATAACAAAATAATAAGCTATAATTTATTTCTTTTTCTCGGGTAATGGTAATAAATATAACGGGAGAAAGAGAGGGGGGAGGTGTGAGAGAGAGAGAGTGTGAGAAGGAGTGTGAGAGATAGAAAGTGAGAGAGTGAGAGAAAAACAAAGAGTGGGGAAGGGAGAGGGCGAGAGAAGGAGAGAGAGTGAGAGAAGGAGTGTGAGAGAGATTGAGCGTGTGAGAGAGAGAGAGGGAGAGTATGAGGCAGAGATTGTGAGAGATTGTGTGAGAGAGCAAGAGAGAGAGAGAGAGAGGGAGAGTATGAGAGAGAGATTGTGTGAGAGAGAGAGTGAGAGAATGAGAGATCGTGGGAGAGAGAGAGAGTGAGAGAGAATGTGAGAGAGAGAGAGAGAGGGAGAGCGTGTGAGAGAGAAGGGGGTGAGTGAGAGAGAGTGTAAGAGAGAGGGGAATGTAAGAGACACGAGAGTGTGAGGGAGAAAGTGCGAGAGAGAGTTTGAGAGATAGAGAAAGAATGTGAAGGTGTGAGAGTATGAGAGAGGGAGTGTGAGAGAGAGAGTGTGGGAGAGAGAAAGAGAGAGAATGTGACAGAGAGAGGGAGAGTGTGAGAGAGGGAGTATGAAGTGGAGAGACCCAGCAAACAATTTGGTAGCAAATTATCGCCAAATTGGCACCAAATTTGTACAAAGTTTGCTGTCAAATCCATCTGTGTCCTCAATAGGATCGGAATTTGCTAGCAAAGTTTGTATACATATTCTCATGCCAAATTGGGGCCAAATAATGAGCAAGGCTTGCTGGCAAAACTATATAGAAAATTGGCGCCAAATAATGAGCAAGACTGGCTGACAAAACTCCAGAGCAAATTGGCGCCAAGTTCCCAGCAAGGCTTACGGACAAAACATCACACCAAATTGTCACCAAATACCGAACAAAGTTTGGCGACAATACTCCACAGTAAATTGACGCCAAATACCGAGCAAAGCTTGGCAACAAAACCTTGCAGCAAGTTGACGTCAAATACCGAGCAAAGCTTAGTGACAAAATTCCACAGCAAATTGGTGCCAAATATCGAGCAGATTTTGCCATATTCATTTACTACACCCCACCCACTTCAACCAAGTAGGTTAGGTTCAAATAAAGCGAGGAGTACAGATTTTGGCCAAGTGTGTATAATGTACAATGCAAAAGCAAATGAATTTATTAGAATCATATATTGTTTACGTACAGCTGGAAATGACTTTTGATAATGCATTTGCTTGTCAATTATATATTATGCACGAATCTGTATTCCCCGCTTAATTATTAAGTAAAATCAAATATGTTAATAAATTTTTATTAATATTTTACAAATTTATTATACTTAATGATTTATTATTATTGTAACAATTTTTCTAAATTTGTTACAATGTCGAAAATACACTAAAATATAAGGCTAATATTACATTTGTCGTACGACAAGCTTTCGAATACGTTGATTAGTTAACAAACAGAATATTTCTAGGATTGCTCCGCGTACGCCAATCAATGTATCCGAAAAGCTTGTCGTACGATACATGTAATATTAGCCTAAGTTGGCACTAAAAAGTACCGATTCAGATATTGGTATTCAAAAATGCCTTTTATTGCAGTGAGGTGTTCCCATTATGTTTTAGAAATAGGCGCTGAAAAGTGCCGATTTACTCCTCTGTCTTCGAGAAAAGAACGTGTGTTATGTGCGTGCGTGTGTATGTGTGTCTGTGTGTATGTGTGCGTGCATGTTGCACTCTCCTCCCTCTCTCTCTCTCTCTCCGCCTCTTCCTCTCTCTCTCTCTCTCTCTCTCTCTCTCTCTCTCTCTCTCTCTCTCTCTCTCTCTCTCTCTCTCTCTCTCTCTTTCTCTCTCGACCTCCTGCGACCGTGAGTGTTGTCTTCGTCCTCATCCTCCTCCCATGCATCTGTAAATTTAGAAATTTTTAATATTTTTTAATATATATGACGGACGCGATTAATAGATGAGATCAAGTAAAATACAGGGAACGGAAATGAAAAATTGAAGAACATATAACTTTACTACCAGTAATCAGTGAGGAATGATCCCTGCTGCTACATTTCTCTCTTACATGACCCTATTTCTGTATTATTTCATGAATGTAGGCATTTTTCAGTGATATTCAATATATACATATTAAACAACATACCGTGAAATGTATTGAATATTACAGAAAACTGTATACATTGGCTGCATTCAGAAGAACAAAATGATCAATGAACGGTTAGTGATTCTCGCTCCTGATTGGCGAATACTTCTGGGTCTATGAAAAATCTAAAAGAATGCTCCAGTCACAGACAAAATAATCACTAAGCGCTCACTGATCACTTTGTTCTGCTGAACGCAGCAAGTAACAAAATAATATTGAAATTGCGTCATATGTGACGGAGAAATTCAGCTAAATATTTCCAGCAGATGTATCACTCACTGTTCAGATGCCCGACAATATTTATAAGATATTTTAAAAACATAGATGTTGGATATATTATAAATATTCTAATGTCTGAGATTTTCAACTATGGAAAAATATGATAAATATCTAAAAATCTTTATAATATTGTTCATACATCTTTTATAAACCTTTTATAAATATTTTATAAATCTTTTATAAATCGGAATTTTTATAAACATACGTATGACAAACATGTTCAGATATTTATCATACCCTTTACATGCCTGAAAATATCGGACATTAGAATATTTACGAAATATTCAACATCTATATTTTCACAATATCTTGTAAATATTGCGTGTTTATTCAACAGTGCTATATACCTTATGTCGGGTCTTGCTGGTCCTGCTCCTCTTCCTCGTCTGCACGCTCGTCGCTCCATAAGTTGCGCTGTATCATTGGACCGGCTGCCGTTCTACGTTGATTACGTCCTCTGTGGCGGTGTCGTTCCTTCGCTGTCCGAAGAGCGTCTCGCATCTGTATTTGGAACTCGGAACGTTGAGGTCTCTGAAAGTACCGGCTACGGCATGCAGCATCTGAAAACCATAATATATCTTTATATCACTACAACAGTTGCATGCTACTACACCTGACACCTCCGTGTATAACGATGACCGTATCCAGCTCAAAAAATAACTCAGTGTGCACTTTGTGCCTATTGTCCGTGTTTGGAATATTTCTTTACATTCTTGACAAATGTACGGAAATATATCAATCAGGATGGATAGTTCACTGAGTTACTTTTTCCGCTGAATACGTCCAAGCACGTCGTCATGACTCAGCAAACTTGATCTGTGTAGAGAAGAAGACACAGCACACACAAAGTAACAATTATATCTCTGCTTAAAATGTTTGATAGCAAATGTGTGATTGATATAATAGAAACGGACGGAATGTCTATGTTAATTTATATGACTTATCATGAAATCATATAAATTAATATAGACATTCTATCCGGTTCTATTGTATACAATCACACATTTGCTACCAAACATTTCAAGCAGAGATATAATTGTTACTTTGTGTGCGCTGCGTCTTCTTCTCTATACAGATCAAGTTTCGTGGCGACGTGCTTTGTGTTTACTTACCATAGATAGCCTTCGTCAGACGGGTGTTATATAATGCTTCTTATTGCTTCTCGCGGCCCCACCAGGTCAAACACGGCGTGAAAGCGTCCTGGAGACTCTCCTTGAAGCATAAATTGATCGCTTCCTTCAGGTTAAAACTGCCGATGTAGTGGAAATAATTCATCTAGATAAAATAAAACAAGTATAACATCTGCTACAAGCAGACAATGTGTAACAGCGATGTCAAAAGTATGAAAGTAATTATCTCTACTTACGACTTTGCAGTAAGTCTCTTCATCGATGTCCTCAAACGCACGCAATTCTGCTACCGATGATATCGAAAGAATATCCAGCTTGGAGGATGTTGAAGAACGTTGGTTACTTTCGACGCATTGCAGGATCCTTTCCAGCATGGTTTCCATCTTCCTGTGAAGAAGGGGTAAAAAGATAATTTTATAAATTATTTTGTCAGTATATAGTACATACTCACGTAAGTCTCTTTTCCATGCGCTCCCAACGATCGTTGTTCTCCCTGTGGACAAAAATAACGTTTTTATAAATGTTCTTTTACAATTTTCGTTACTGTTATATTTTTAAATACGCACAAAGACATACCGATTGTCCGCCTTCTGTGTTATTCGTGCATGTTGGCCATAAGGTAGCCGCTCTTCGTACTGCTCGTAAGATAGACGCTCCTGATGGAACTGATGCTGCGTGTGGCCCTGCGTTGTCCATGGGCGCGAAGTACCCTGCAACTCAGTATATGTATCATTAGTGTAGTACAGGTGTTCACTTTCGTGAGGTGTACATGTAGTGCGAGAAGTATGAATCGATGTGTCTTGTGCTGGGTGGACAGATGCTGTGGGAGTAATGTGTGTGGGATTATATGTGTGTGTGTGCGCGATATGTTTTGTGTAGTATTAGTAAATAAATGTATATCGTTGTTTGCATTCTTGTCCAGGGTGGCCCGTATATCTCTGATGTCCTCTTCGATGCTTCCTGCCGTGGTGTTTGGCACAGGTGCAGCCCGTTTGCATACTGGAGGAACCTCGTCTGATGATGTCTGGTAGCTTGTTGGCTTTGTAATTATACGCTTTGGTCGTTCTTCCATCTGTAAGTAAAACTATGTGCCTGTATCAAATGATAACAACATAATCTTATGTAATTGTCTTACCATTGTCCTTTTATTTAGAAAGTGGTGGTTATATATGTCCTTCTCAAAGGACTTTTTTACATTTGCTGTTGACACTTGTCGCGAAAAAGAGGTTAAGAATATGAATACATGAATAGGTAAAACAGATATTATTCACACACACAATATCTGTACACGAGGATACAAAATTACTTTTCACAAGATATCGGAAAGCAAAACATAGGTGTATGAATTATGCGAAAAAAGAAATTTCAGCCGCAAAACGACATTGCTTTCGAGAACATTTCTGAGCAACGGATATAAAGCAGCACAAATAAAAATGATAGCAGAATCATAATATTGCAACATATTAGTGCATATGACATTACCCAATCGCAAATATTAGCTATTCCTTGAAAGACATGGAATAATAACAAAAAACAGTATGTTAATACGTACCCTAAGCTAAGAGATACTAAGCAAATATATCGCATCGCAAACATCTTGTAAATGTTAGTCACAATACTGCAATAAACACATGTTACATATCACTATGTATTAGAACAGCGACAATGTATTTTGTTTGCAAATAATCGTCTTCATCACTATTGCTATCGTCCATGGTTAGACGTTCCCAAAAAGGCATTCTATAACATTTTGCATGAACTTCGTTTAAGGATACGTAAAATCTTTCGCTGCTCAATGTGGCGCACTTGTATACCTGAAAACACGAAGATGCCATACCAACATCGTAAAAGTCAGCAACACTCAAAAATCTGTTTACAGCCAAACGAAAAGAGTTACTTTCTCTGGAAATTTCAGTGACAATGCATATGGATCCATCATGTAATATACAACAATTGTCGTATGTGTCTATACTTAGCAATATATTATTAAAATTAATCTTACGATACTGTGGACAATTGGTATCATTATTACGCAATATAGATGTACGAATAGATGATGCATTATTACATGTGTTATTTGTTCCGTGAATCTGCTGTTCTGTCATTCTGTTGAAAAACTGTTGCAAAGGTAAGCCCGGTTTTCTGCAATATTTTCTAAAAATGTACATGTTATTTTCATATGCAAAAGCAGAAAATGAATCTAAATTACCGAAACGTCTGACATCATCAGCGAGATGAAGAAGGCCATGTACATTGTAAGTAGCAAAAGTTGGACCATACAAATTTGCACAACGAAGGACAAATTTTTGCAACGCGATTTCTGCAAAACTGAGATGTTGCCTCAATGGTGATTTCGAGACCAGGACTCTAATAGCAGCATGTAAAAATAAGAAATGTTTATACACGTCTTCATTTAATAAACCATACATTACAACTGGTCCTGTGTAAAGCAAGAATTGACGAAATTCTGTCGCTTTAAACTTGGAACATATATCGAGAAGCCTAGGATGTCGTGCAAAGTCCGAGGGACAATATTTTCTAAGAATATTTAACCTTGTATTTATTACAGAAAGATATCTTCCCGACAATTTCGATAACCGTGAATATTTTCCATACACCCATGCAGTTAAAAGTTTCTTCATTACGCCCAAACATACAAGATGCATATGCTCGAAAGGAACTTGAGAAACCATGCTAATTGGTAACAATGATAATGGGCTTTCACCCTCTCTATGGTGATCTTCATCCAAACGTCTTATATATTCGTCGTCAGTTCGAAGGGAATGCTGAATGTTATTAAATACAAAACGACCTTCCGTATATACACCAGAAATCTTACATTTTGAACAAGGTTTACTAGATGCATGGCTACAGTGATTTAAAATGAATGCTCGTGCTGGAGCATCAACTATAAAACATCTTAAACATATCTGAACTTTACGATTATGAAAAGTAATTCCCCTATTTGATACTATTGCTGTAATGTCTGCGACAAATTTTTCAAAAAATGCATTGTGATTATTTGGCTTTTGGATACCCTTGTAGATCCCCACTACTATTGGTTTTGTATTTTCTACATTTATAATTCTACATTGAATTATAGGCCATATATGATTAGTACTTGATTTATCCAAATTACATCCGTCTGTATTGAAATCTATTTCTAACTCTTTAACCGATTGCAATGAAATATTTGAAAGACATTCAATAATTTTATTTTCGACATCAAAATGGATATATTCCTCCGGTTCTACTTTTGATATTACAATATGATTTCGTGATGTATTAAGGAGCGTTTTAACATCTTTTGGCAATGTAGAAAAACAGGAGTGCGTTCGAAAAAGAGCCAATATACTATTACATTGAACATGAGTAAGATTATTATCAACGAAACAAGATGCTAAGCGTTCATTGAAAGGTAAATCGTTGGAAACAGATAGAGATAACGGAAATGTATCGTTAATCTCAGAAATACACGACGAAGAAGAAGAAAGAGACGTATGGTCTTCTAAATTAATATCTCTACATCTATGTAGTAATATACTACATCAATGTAATAACTTCGTCGTAAAGGAGTGTTTACACGGCATGTAACGTCAGTAGTTATAACATCGATGTTATAACTTTAGCGTAAATTAGGCTGTGTAAACGTAGTCATAGTTTATGTCACTTATACTATAGAATTTCAGTGCTGATAGTGAATATCGGAATGCAGCCAAGGAAGGAAGATTTCAGAGACTATTTCTGATATATCGAATATTTTGCACTGTTTGTTTTTTACGTGGAATGAAAAGAAAGATAAGGAGTATTTGCATCGCAACGTATTAATTCTTAAACAAAACAACGAGATGACTTACGTAGTACAATCAATCTACAAAGGTGCATTTTGATTGGATGTCATATAGTTGGTGTGGCTATGCATTTAACGCTGTTTGGCATGTAGTATTATTCGTAGTATTATTCTTTCTGAGTTCAACTGTCACATGAGCAAGGTGAACGAAGAATTCCTGAACAAATAATCTGTTTACGAAAGCTACCGAGATGATATCTAAACATCGTTTGCTGTACAGAGAATACACGTGAATATGCATACACAATTATTTAACCGTTTGACTGCTAAGCAATTCTTGCAAGAACGCACGAAAACTGCGGGACATATTTTGACTTGATGTTGTCAAATAAAACACTCTCATTTAGACAAATATCAATCAATTTTAATAATTCTTTTCGTATTATAAAGAAACAATATTAATTGTGATTGTGAATAAGAAAAAATAAACATTAAATTGTTTTTTTCTTTGAAAATTAAAATTTATAAAAAGATAACTTAAAGTTTATTGATCTTCTCTTATGATCAGCACGTAAAGGATCATTTTGATTAGGGGAAGATCACTGACTCTTACATGAAAAATTTATGTATAACAACTATGTTTTGCCGCACAAATAGCGTGAAGGCCTTTTTTACAACAAGCGCAAATAAGGCGGGATCGCTTGATCCCGCTCCTTCTGTTGCTACACACCGTACATTGTCGTAAGTTACGTCCCGGTAATTTTTCAAGCGCAAATTTTTTGGTTGATGAAGATGGTTGTGTTGACACGCTATTTTTATGATTCATCCACTCCTTTTCGATATCGTCAATAATTTTTGATGTGGTCCAGGAGTCTCGAAAAAATTATTTGTTGCTTTGGAAAACACATTTGTCGGAGGAATATTCGTAAAAGTTGGTGTTTCTTCTGTTTCTGAAGATGAAGATGAGATAGAAGACTCACTTTCAATCCTCAGTCTTTTTCTTTGATGAGTTATAATAATGCTATCATCACTACTGTCTGTTTTTTCACCATCCTCAGAATCACTAGCAATCGAATCAACGTCCGAAATAATAGCCCGTGACATGGTTATTTTTTAAAAATAATATATAAAAACGGTAAAAAGTTATTTCAGAATGCATTCGTGTTACAAAGTACGCGTGAGGTCAGACTACGTTCACTTCCACGGAGCAACAAAGACACACTGAAACTCGCAGCGCAAAAGCGCTGCGTCGCGGTTTTCGAGACAAATGAACGCAGCGCTTTTGCGCCGCGTAGCAGTGAAACGGTTAAAGTCAAATCTTCGATTTCGCGGAAAGCATTACATAGATTGTCCTTAAGACAACGAAATAGTCGTCGTGTATTTCTGAGATTAACGATACATTTCCGTTATCTCTATCTGTTTCCAACGATTTACCTTTCAATGAACGCTTAGCATCTTGTTTCGTTGATAATAATCTTACTCATGTTCAATGTAATAGTATATTGGCTCTTTTTCGAACGCACTCCTGTTTTTCTACATTGCCAAAAGATGTTAAAACGCTCCTTAATACATCACGAAATCATATTGTAATATCAAAAGTAGAACCGGAGGAATATATCCATTTTGATGTCGAAAATAAAATTATTGAATGTCTTTCAAATATTTCATTGCAATCGGTTAAAGAGTTAGAAATAGATTTCAATACAGACGGATGTAATTTGGATAAATCAAGTACTAATCATATATGGCCTATAATTCAATGTAGAATTATAAATGTAGAAAATACAAAACCAATAGTAGTGGGGATCTACAAGGGTATCCAAAAGCCAAATAATCACAATGCATTTTTTGAAAAATTTGTCGCAGACATTACAGCAATAGTATCAAATAGGGGAATTACTTTTCATAATCGTAAAGTTCAGATATGTTTAAGATGTTTTATAGTTGATGCTCCAGCACGAGCATTCATTTTAAATCACTGTAGCCATGCATCTAGTAAACCTTGTTCAAAATGTAAGATTTCTGGTGTATATACGGAAGGTCGTTTTGTATTTAATAACATTCAGCATTCCCTTCGAACTGACGACGAATATATAAGACGTTTGGATGAAGATCACCATAGAGAGGGTGAAAGCCCATTATCATTGTTACCAATTAGCATGGTTTCTCAAGTTCCTTTCGAGCATATGCATCTTGTATGTTTGGGCGTAATGAAGAAACTTTTAACTGCATGGGTGTATGGAAAATATTCACGGTTATCGAAATTGTCGGGAAGATATCTTTCTGTAATAAATACAAGGTTAAATATTCTTAGAAAATATTGTCCCTCGGACTTTGCACGACATCCTAGGCTTCTCGATATATGTTCCAAGTTTAAAGCGACAGAATTTCGTCAATTCTTGCTTTACACAGGACCAGTTGTAATGTATGGTTTATTAAATGAAGACGTGTATAAACATTTCTTATTTTTACATGCTGCTATTAGAGTCCTGGTCTCGAAATCACCATTGAGGCAACATCTCAGTTTTGCAGAAATCGCGTTGCAAAAATTTGTCCTTCGTTGTGCAAATTTGTATGGTCCAACTTTTGCTACTTACAATGTACATGGCCTTCTTCATCTCGCTGATGATGTCAGACGTTTCGGTAATTTAGATTCATTTTCTGCTTTTGCATATGAAAATAACATGTACATTTTTAGAAAATGTTGCAGAAAACCGGGCTTACCTTTGCAACAGTTTTTCAACAGAATGACAGAACAGCAGATTCACGGAACAAATAACACATGTAATAATGCATCATCTATTCGTACATCTATATTGCGTAATAATGATACCAATTGTCCACAGTATCGTAAGATTAATTTTAATAATATATTGCTAAGTATAGACACATACGACAATTGTTGTATATTACATGATGGATCCATATGCATTGTCACTGAAATTTCCAGAGAAAGTAACTCTTTTCGTTTGGCTGTAAACAGATTTTTGAGTGTTGCTGACTTTTACGATGTTGGTATGGCATCTTCGTGTTTTCAGGTATACAAGTGCGCCACATTGAGCAGCGAAAGATTTTACGTATCCTTAAACGAAGTTCATGCAAAATGTTATAGAATGCCTTTTTGGGAACGTCTAACCATGGACGATAGCAATAGTGATGAAGACGATTATTTGCAAACAAAATACATTGTCGCTGTTCTAATACATAGTGATATGTAACATGTGTTTATTGCAGTATTGTGACTAACATTTACAAGATGTTTGCGATGCGATATATTTGCTTAGTATCTCTTAGCTTAGGGTACGTATTAACATACTGTTTTTTGTTATTATTCCATGTCTTTCAAGGAATAGCTAATATTTGCGATTGGGTAATGTCATATGCACTAATATGTTGCAATATTATGATTCTGCTATCATTTTTATTTGTGCTGCTTTATATCCGTTGCTCAGAAATGTTCTCGAAAGCAATGTCGTTTTGCGGCTGAAATTTCTTTTTTCGCATAATTCATACACCTATGTTTTGCTTTCCGATATCTTGTGAAAAGTAATTTTGTATCCTCGTGTACAGATATTGTGTGTGTGAATAATATCTGTTTTACCTATTCATGTATTCATATTCTTAACCTCTTTTTCGCGACAAGTGTCAACAGCAAATGTAAAAAAGTCCTTTGAGAAGGACATATATAACCACCACTTTCTAAATAAAAGGACAATGGTAAGACAATTACATAAGATTATGTTGTTATCATTTGATACAGGCACATAGTTTTACTTACAGATGGAAGAACGACCAAAGCGTATAATTACAAAGCCAACAAGCTACCAGACATCATCAGACGAGGTTCCTCCAGTATGCAAACGGGCTGCACCTGTGCCAAACACCACGGCAGGAAGCATCGAAGAGGACATCAGAGATATACGGGCCACCCTGGACAAGAATGCAAACAACGATATACATTTATTTACTAATACTACACAAAACATATCGCGCACACACACACATATAATCCCACACACATTACTCCCACAGCATCTGTCCACCCAGCACAAGACACATCGATTCATACTTCTCGCACTACATGTACACCTCACGAAAGTGAACACCTGTACTACACTAATGATACATATACTGAGTTGCAGGGTACTTCGCGCCCATGGACAACGCAGGGCCACACGCAGCATCAGTTCCATCAGGAGCGTCTATCTTACGAGCAGTACGAAGAGCGGCTACCTTATGGCCAACATGCACGAATAACACAGAAGGCGGACAATCGGTATGTCTTTGTGCGTATTTAAAAATATAACAGTAACGAAAATTGTAAAAGAACATTTATAAAAACGTTATTTTTGTCCACAGGGAGAACAACGATCGTTGGGAGCGCATGGAAAAGAGACTTACGTGAGTATGTACTATATACTGACAAAATAATTTATAAAATTATCTTTTTACCCCTTCTTCACAGGAAGATGGAAACCATGCTGGAAAGGATCCTGCAATGCGTCGAAAGTAACCAACGTTCTTCAACATCCTCCAAGCTGGATATTCTTTCGATATCATCGGTAGCAGAATTGCGTGCGTTTGAGGACATCGATGAAGAGACTTACTGCAAAGTCGTAAGTAGAGATAATTACTTTCATACTTTTGACATCGCTGTTACACATTGTCTGCTTGTAGCAGATGTTATACTTGTTTTATTTTATCTAGATGAATTATTTCCACTACATCGGCAGTTTTAACCTGAAGGAAGCGATCAATTTATGCTTCAAGGAGAGTCTCCAGGACGCTTTCACGCCGTGTTTGACCTGGTGGGGCCGCGAGAAGCAATAAGAAGCATTATATAACACCCGTCTGACGAAGGCTATCTATGGTAAGTAAACACAAAGCACGTCGCCACGAAACTTGATCTGTATAGAGAAGAAGACGCAGCGCACACAAAGTAACAATTATATCTCTGCTTGAAATGTTTGGTAGCAAATGTGTGATTGTATACAATAGAACCGGATAGAATGTCTATATTAATTTATATGATTTCATGATAAGTCATATAAATTAACATAGACATTCCGTCCGTTTCTATTATATCAATCACACATTTGCTATCAAACATTTTAAGCAGAGATATAATTGTTACTTTGTGTGTGCTGTGTCTTCTTCTCTACACAGATCAAGTTTGCTGAGTCATGACGACGTGCTTGGACGTATTCAGCGGAAAAAGTAACTCAGTGAACTATCCATCCTGATTGATATATTTCCGTACATTTGTCAAGAATGTAAAGAAATATTCCAAACACGGACAATAGGCACAAAGTGCACACTGAGTTATTTTTTGAGCTGGATACGGTCATCGTTATACACGGAGGTGTCAGGTGTAGTAGCATGCAACTGTTGTAGTGATATAAAGATATATTATGGTTTTCAGATGCTGCATGCCGTAGCCGGTACTTTCAGAGACCTCAACGTTCCGAGTTCCAAATACAGATGCGAGACGCTCTTCGGACAGCGAAGGAACGACACCGCCACAGAGGACGTAATCAACGTAGAACGGCAGCCGGTCCAATGATACAGCGCAACTTATGGAGCGACGAGCGTGCAGACGAGGAAGAGGAGCAGGACCAGCAAGACCCGACATAAGGTATATAGCACTGTTGAATAAACACGCAATATTTACAAGATATTGTGAAAATATAGATGTTGAATATTTCGTAAATATTCTAATGTCCGATATTTTCAGGCATGAAAAGGGTATGATAAATATCTGAACATGTTTGTCATACGTATGTTTATAAAAATTCCGATTTATAAAAGATTTATAAAATATTTATAAAAGGTTTATAAAAGATGTATGAACAATATTATAAAGATTTTTAGATATTTATCATATTTTTCCATAGTTGAAAATCTCAGACATTAGAATATTTATAATATATCCAACATCTATGTTTTTAAAATATCTTATAAATATTGTCGGGCATCTGAACAGTGAGTGATACATCTGCTGGAAATATTTAGCTGAATTTCTCCGTCACATATGACGCAATTTCAATATTATTTTGTTACTTGCTGCGTTCAGCAGAACAAAGTGATCAGTGAGCGCTTAGTGATTATTTTGTCTGTGACTGGAGCATTCTTTTAGATTTTTCATAGACCCAGAAGTATTCGCCAATCAGGAGCGAGAATCACTAACCGTTCATTGATCATTTTGTTCTTCTGAATGCAGCCAATGTATACAGTTTTCTGTAATATTCAATACATTTCACGGTATGTTGTTTAATATGTATATATTGAATATCACTGAAAAATGCCTACATTCATGAAATAATACAGAAATAGGGTCATGTAAGAGAGAAATGTAGCAGCAGGGATCATTCCTCACTGATTACTGGTAGTAAAGTTATATGTTCTTCAATTTTTCATTTCCGTTCCCTGTATTTTACTTGATCTCTTCTATTAATCGCGTCCGTCATATATTAGGAGCGCAAAAAAGTTCTGGGCCTTTTTTTGCAAAATTCAAAATTTATTTAAAAACAAACAAAACTATATTAATCAACGAAATATTCCCCGTTTGCATCGATGACCTTTTGCCATCTTTCGGGCAGCTTGCGAATTCCCTGATGGTAGAAGCTCACCGGCTTCGAGGCGATAAAGTCATCAAGGCATTTTCGTATCTCTTCAAGTGTCACAAAATGTGTATCAGCCAAGAAATGCTGCAGAGACCGGAATAGGTAGTAATCGGAAGGCGCCATGTCTGGGCTATACGCCGCGTGCGGGAGAAATTCCCAGCCTAACGCAAAGATATGGTCCTGAGTCACTTTCGCAACATGTGGTTGGGCATTGTCATGAAGCAGTATCACTTTACGACGTCCTTTGCCAGTAAATGGCCCCTTTTCTTCAAACGCATCGCTCAAATTGCTCAATTGTTGCTGATAGCGATCTGCCGTTACTGTTTTACCCGACTGTAACAACTCGTAATACAATACACCTTTCCAATCCCACCATATGCAAAGCAAAACCTTCTTGGTGTGGATATTGGTCTTTGGCGTCGATGTCGAAGGTTGACCAGGGTCAACCCATGATTTTTTACGCTTCGGATTACCATAAAGTATCCACTTTTCATCACCTGTAATGATTTGGTGCAGAAAATCCTTTTTCCGTAACCTTGAAAGCAAAGTAAGTGGCGTGTCACGCCGTCGATTTTTGTTGTCTTCGGACAGTGCATGCGGAACCCATCTGCCTTCCTTTTGAACTTTTCCCATTGCATGTAAACGTGTGGAAATGGCTTGTCGCGTAACGCCAAGTTGCTCTGCAAGCTCCTTTTCAGTTTGTGCAGAGTTTACATCCAACAATGCTTGCAGTTCGTCCGTTTCAATCTTTTGAGGGCGTCCAGCACGCGGTTCATCTTCAAGACTGAAATCTCCTTGGCGAAATTTTTGATACCACCTTTTACACGTAGCATAACTTACAGCGTTCTCTCCATATGCAACACAGATCATTTCAGTGACTTCAGCAGCATTTTTCTTCAAATGAAACGCGAAGTGGATGGAAAATCGAATATGCTCTTTTGTTATTGCCATCGTGAACACTGCTGATTTTAAGGTTATGTGCATCAAACGCCAAATCGCACGATGTTTCGAAAGACCAAATGTCACTGCTTTAAAACCGCAAGAGGGCGGGAAAATTAATGCAATTTAAATTGTGGTTTCAGTAGTATGAAATCTAGGGCTCAGAACATTTTGCGCTCCTAATATATTAAAAAATATTAGAAATTTCTAAATTTACAGATGCATGGGACGAGGATGAGGACGAAGACAACACTCACGGTCGCAGGAGGTCGAGAGAGAGAGGGAGAGGGAGAGGGAAAGGGAGGGGAGAGGGGGAGAGAGGGGGAAGGGGAGGGAGAGAGGGAGAGAGAGGGAGGAGGGTGCAACATGCACGCACACACAACAGACACACATACACACGCACGCACATACCACACGTTCTCTTCTCGAAGACAGAGGAGTAAATCGGCACTTTTCAGCGCCTATTTTTAAAACATAACGGGAACACCTCACTGCAATAAAAGGCATTTTTGAATGCAATATCTGAATCGGTACTTTTTAGTGCCAACTTAGGCTAATATTACATGTATCGTACGACAAGCTTTTCGGATACATTGATTGGCGTACGCGGAGCAATCCTAGAAATATTCTGTTTGTTAATTAATCAACGTATTCGAAAAGATTGTCGTACGACAAATGTAATATTAGCCTTATATTTTAGTGTATTTTCAACATTGTAACAAATTTAAAAAAATTGTTACAATAATAATAATAAATCATTAAGTATAATAAATTTGTAAAATATTAATAAAAATTTATTAACATATTTGATTTTACTTAATAATTAAGCGGGGAATACAGATTCGTGCATAATATACAGGGTGTTATAAAAGTCCCGGAAGAGCAGAATAACTCGAAAAATATGAGTCTAAGAAAAACAGCGAAGTACTGGGTTTTTATTATTTTTTCCTGGCTATCTGACGGTGACCTCGGATTTGATCTTGACAATGACCTTGAAGGTCATTTCAAGGTCAGGTCAATTTTTTTAAATGGGACCCCATACTTTTGAGCCCAAAAATGAAAAGAGCGGAAAATTTTACGTTCGGATATGACCTTAAACCCTGCCAAATTGACCTCTGGAGGTCACATAAAGGTCTAAGCTTGTTTTAGGCTGAAAACGCGAACATCTTCGAAAATGCACTTGCTAGGGATCGACAAGATCATATATGTTGATATATGACGTATAATTTTGAGAACAAGGTCAAGGTTGAAAACGTCATATCCGAACGTAAAATTTTTCAATCTTGACTCTTTTAGGTCAAAAGTATGGATTTTCAGTCTTAAAAAATCCGGTTCGACCTTAATAATAATCTTAACTCATGACCTTGAGAATAAGGGCAAGGTCATGGCTGAATGTTCCTCGTTGACCTCTAAATTCTTATTCTTATGCGTAACATTGCTCCCTAGCAGGTGCATTTTCGAAGATATTCGCGTTTTCAGCCTAAAACAAGCTTAGACCTTTATGTGACCTTCAGAGGTCAAATTTGGCGTTGGTGTTCAAGGCCATATTCAAACGTAAAATTTTCCGCTCTTTTCATTTTTGGGCTCAAAAGTATGGGGTCCCATTTAAAAAAATTGACCTGACCTTGAAATGACCTTCAAGGTCATTGTCAAGATCAAATCCGAGGTCACCGTCAGATAGCCAGGAAAAAATAATAAAAACCCAGTACTTCGCTGTTTTTCTTAGACTCATATTTTTCGAGTTATTCTGCTCTTCCGGGACTTTTATAACACCCTGTATATTCATGTTGAAATATTCTTTTCCGCTCTCCGCTCTCCCATTTTCTTGCTCTCCAACTTTCTTTATGTATACATATTACCGCAAATACATATTATATTTATATATAAATCTCTCCTGCTTATATTAGAGTTAAAAAATATAAATTTTATTTTGTACAATATTGTAGCTATATTATATAACGCTGAAGTATCATTTTGATCCCGATTACATAAATATTTTATTAATTCATAAGATCTAGTAAATTAATTTTCAATAAATAGTAAAAATTAGTTTATATATACATATATATATACATAAAAATTAGTTTATATATATACATATATATATATATACACACATGTATATGTATACATATTGTACGTACACAAAGAAAAAGAGCGAGAAAAAGGAAGAAAGAGCGACGGACAAAAAAAAGTCTCTTGCGCGCGCATGCAAGAGAGAGCGAGAAAGAGAGAGAGAGAGAGAGAGAGAGAGAGAGAGAGAGAGAGAGAGAGAGAGAGAGAGAGAGCGAGAGCGAGAGAGAGAGCGAGAGAGAGAGAGAACGAGAGAGCGAGAGAGAGAGAGAACGAGAGAGAGAGAGAGAGAGAGGGAGCGAGAGAGAGAGAGAGAGAGAGAGGGAGCGAGAGAGAGAGAGAGAGAGAGAGGGAGCGAGAGAGAGAGAGAGGAGAGCGAGAGAGAGAGAGCGAGAGAGAGAGAGCGAGAGAGAGAGAGAGAGCGAGAGAGAGAGAGAGAGCGAGAGAGAGAGAGAGAGAGAGAGAGAGAGAGAGAGAGAGAGAGAGCGAGAGAGAGAGCGAGAGAGAGAGAGAGCGAGAGAGAGAGCGAGAGAGAGAGCGAGAGAGAGAGAGAGAGCGAGAGAGAGAGCGAGAGAGAGAGCGAGAGAGAGAGCGAGAGAGAGAGAGAGAGCGAGAGAGAGAGCGAGAGAGAGAGAGAGAGAGAGAGAGAGAGAGAGAGAGAGCGAGAGAGAGAGAGAGAGAGCGAGAGAGAGAGAGAGAGAGAGAGAGAGAGAGAGAGAGAGAGAGAGAGAGAGAGAGAGAGAGAGAGAGAGTTTGTAGGTGGGGGTCGAGACTCACGAGTCCCGCCGTCTCGAGCTTTGTATTCCCAGGAGCGTTAGTTCCGGATGCTTGACTCTCGAGACTGCGCTTTATAAACGGAATCGGGCGGAAGTGAAAGTGCGGTTTGCACGCTTCTAATGTAGTGTCAAAAATTATAACCAATAATCGCAACTAAATTTATTCAGTTATTTATTTGTATATTTGTTAGCTTCAATTAAATTTGCATAGTCTGTCCAATGGAAAAGATAACTGTTGCAAAATGAAATACAAGATATTATTTATTTTTAGTTTTTGTCATTTTTTATTCAAAATAGTTTCCTTGTGAGTCAATACAATGATGGAAGAGGTCGTAAAATTTTTTGAAACACTTCTGATACTTATTTTTTGCAATTATCTCCAAAGCCGCGGTCGAAGCTTCCTTAATGTCTGAAATCGTGTCGAAATGCTTTCCTTTCATCGATAATTTCAGTTTTGGCAACAACCAGAAGTTTCACGGAGCCAAATCAAGCAAATACGGAGGATCGAAAACTACGATACTTTACTTGGCCAAGAAATCACGTACGAAATATTGCTGAATGAGATGAATAATAGATTTAGGATGCCAGTGAACTTCTCAATGTGCCTGGCAAACACATAATAATCACTTCAAAGAATTTCAGCCGCTTTTTGAGACATTTTCTTCAGTTCAGACTGTTACTGATGGACCTGGTCGTGGATCGTCTTCAATGCTCTCTGCCATCACGAAATCTTGCAATCCACTTAAAAACGTTCTTTTTACATATTATTTTACTACCACAAAGAGTTTGAATGATTTCGCAAATTTCTGTGGCACTTTTATCCAATTTAAAATTTAATTTAATGTTAGTACATTGTCCCATTGTTGTTTTTCCGACTGACGCTCGAAAGATATTGTCACATTTTATATCATTACGAACGACCGAGAGATGCTAGCACCTTGAAGTGTTTGGTAGTGAAAGCTTAAATATGTCATTACATATATTTGCATATATTCATTCAAAGATGGTGCTACTGGTTACGCGAAAACAACTAGCTACCTTTTCTACTGGACAGACCGTGTATATAATTATAAATAATTTTATATTTGCATAAGTATATTTGTTAAATGTTGGAAAAATATAAAAGATAAAATATATTGTTTATAAAAATATAAACAATATTACAAATAAATAAAATCAATGAAATAAACAATAAAGCTAATATCTCTATATTTCCAATATATTATTTAATCGCAACATTTTTAAGAGTGTCACTTGTTATCTTGCCGCCCATCGAAGTGATTAATAAGCTTCCATTCCAACAAGCTACGCCATCTTCATTCACTATCAAATCAGTCTAAAAACAGGTATCATATATAATTCTGTTGCACAATATGTCACTTGTTTAGTATTTTGAATTATACAGGGTGAATCATTTAACCTGGAATTTTGTAATATCTCGAAAACTACGCATTGTACAGATAAATTTGCCGAATCGAAACTTTAATATCTCCGAAGGGGGCATCCGTTAGTACTAAATTACGCCCACCCCCACACAAATTTGCCGCCCGCCCCTGTGGGCGGGGCGGGCGGCAAATTTGAAATCTTAAATAGGAACCCCTATTTTTTATCGCAGATTCGGATTCTACGTCGAAAGCTACGTACGATTTGTCCGAAAAAATTTTTTCGATTCGCGACAGATGGCGCTATAATCACAAGAAATGGAACCGAAATCAAAAGAATCAAAAAATAGAGAAGCACGTATTTAGTATTTTTCGACGGGCTATTCAATGATGTTACGGTTGCCCCTCCACCTCCTGTGGGCGGAGTGGTTGGTTAATAAACTACTTTTAGCGTAACCCAGGAACAACGACGGGGACGTAGTAATTTTCTGTTCCCTTGGGTGCTTGATTAACGTGAGTCCCCTTGCCTCTCACTTTTCGGGGTGTTTGATTAACGTGAGTCCTCTTGCCTCTCACTGTTCAAGTAAATACTCGAAATGGTGACCTTGAACTTCAATACAATTGTCGATCCGCGTTTCAAATGACTGTACACAACTGAGAAGTACGTCTCTAGTAATATGGGCACAAGCATCACTGATTCGTTCAATCATATTCTCACGAGTTATTGGTACTCGTTGGTACACTCTTTCTTTCAGGTATCCCCACAAAAAAAAATCTGGCAAAGTTAGATCTGATGATCTGGCAGGCCAATTTATCGGACCAGCTCTACCGATCCAGCAACCGTGGAAATCGCGATCAAGTACTTCGCGTGCTACTACCGGATAATGCGCCGGACAACCGTCATGTTGAAACCACATGTTCTGTCGCACTTCTAAACTTACATCTTCAAGTAACTGTGGCAGTTCATTGTCCAGGAAGTCTTGGTACATTTCACCGTTTAAATTGCCTTCAAAGATGTGGGAGCCGATGAGTTTGTCGTCAATTAT